TAATAATCCGAGGTCGCTCCACCAATCAGACGCCAGAACTTTCAAAAATCACTTTTGCAATTATTATACGAATTGATTTTATATTATTAAGCTTGTAACGCCATGCCTTATAAGCTTTTTCGGTTAAAACCACTGGCCAATTCACGCTTCGTTAAAACGCTTGATAGCAACTAGCAAGAATTACTCTGAATAACCATCGTAAAAATAATTAGGCTCAGTTTAGAAGTATCTATTTTTTATTGATCAAAATTTATCATGAAACTTATTTCACTAATGAATCTAATGTCCTGCATATTGCTGATGTCCATTGGTTAATTGAACCTATTTACACACTAATAATATTGGTCAAACCTCACCAGACGTCACAGTATAAGAATATAGAAATATTATAGATGACAACAGCAGTTATCAACATTGGTTAGGGTAAAATGTTGACTGTATGAACAGAACATTATATATCTATATCTATTTATCTTATGTTATATATTTACACACTAATAATATTGGTTAAACCTCACCAGACGTCACAGTATAAGAATATAGAAATATTATAGATGACAACAGCAGTTATCAACATGACGTGGAACAATGGCTGTTTCTTGAAGTTTATATTGAGAAAACTTTCAGATGTGAGGTTTTACAACAGCAGTTGCATTACACCTTTTTTCTATCATTCTTGGCAGTTCTTTCCAGCCATCTCCACCAATGGTAAAAGATTCCACTGAGTTGAGACATCCCTGCTCACGATTGAATCCACCAAACACGACAATGACGTCATTCATGATGACGGCACAACTGCCTTGCCTTTTATTAATCATGGAGGGAAGCCGGCTACTTTGCCCCGTCTCGGTCTCATAGATGATGACGTCATCTAATATTTGACCATACTTATCCACACCACCAAGAACAATGATCTTATCACCCCAAGTGACAGTGGACATGTAACAAACAGGCTGAGGTAACGATGGACATGGCTTGAACTTATTCTCAACCAAATCATAAACAACAACGCTGTCAGTACCATCCGCATAACTCTCGGTTGTTGATCCGCCCAAGATAAATACCTTCCCATTAACTATCTCTGCTTTGTGTTCAAATCGTGGCTCTTTCATTCTCGTCAGCAACTTCGACGTGTGAGGCGGAATAAGAGCAGTCTCGTATATGGCATCAGATTCCTTTTTCTTTTCATCGTTGAATCCGCCTATAGAAATCAATTTATCTTGATAAACAAGGGCAGCATGGCTTTTTAACTTTGCCGGCAAGTTACCATCAAACATTGTCCATCGCAAAGGACACTGCTTCACATTTAACGCTTCTATTGTGTCAATGGCACCTTTCACACCCAAACCGCCTGCGACAAGGACGTTATTGTTGTGAACAAACGATGCTGTTTTACTTCGATGATTATTGAGTCTTGGTAACATAATAGACTTCTTCTCAGCAATACTGTATATTTCAACAGTATCCAAAGGACGGGTGTCTTCATCGTTATAAAAACCACCAATGATGATAACGTCTTGTTTGTTGGCTGAAATTGTGGGGTCAATTGCTTGAGCACTATCATTGTGAACAAGTGAAGTGTTAATATTCTCTTGTGGTAAATGATTCAGTAATAATTCTTCAAATCTTTCAATCCGCCCTTTCATCACCTAAAAAGTTATAGAAACACACATGGAGAATCAAGAAGATTTACTGACGACGTTGGCTAAGCTGTAAATGGATCTGTGGCATGGTCTTGTGAATAAACGATGCATTTTTAAAGCTTAGAATTGTATTTTACGACGTTTCTAAGAGTGTTGTAGTTAGCGCTGCAAAGTTTTCACAGCAAATCACTGCCAAGCTTGTGGTATCGCAGTAAAATCAACCGACAAACTATCTCAACGACAGTTTCTTCAGAAACGAGGATGGATCATGTGAGCGCTTTCGTCACCTTCATCTACACAAGCCCGTCGCCCGTCGGAACCAGATTTTGCAATTTAAGGCATAAGTATTAAATTAATTCAACGGGAGGGAGGGAAATCTACTGCAAGTTACAACCACGCATTTTTTGCCAAATGAAGCTTCCCAAATACAAATTCTATTTTGTTCCGATGAGTTTTCTAAAGCGTTAAAAATTTATTAAGGGTAAGTCGAAGTTGGCCATTGGTGCACATTCTTCCAACTCGATATTTAAGTGCTCTTTTATTTCAAATTCAGTTTTACCTTGAGTGGAAATATTTGTGTCGTCAGCAAACGTATATGCCGAGGATGATGATAGACAAATCGGAAGATCATCCATATATAGCAGAAATAGCATGGGGCCTAAGTTAGAGCCTTGTGGTATACCACATTTAATTAGTCTTTCCTTAGACATAGTTTGATCTACCTTACAAATTTGGATCCTGTTGGTAAGATAGGACTTAAACTAAGCTAGATCACGGCCTCTTATTCCATAAAAGTCCATTTTTGTTGTTAATATGTTATGATCTACACAGTCAAAGGTCAAGGTAAATAACTCCATTCAAACACTCTCCATCCATGTTTAGAAGCCATTGGTTTGTAGCACAGAGGACAGATGTTTGAGTAGAGTGTTTCCTCCGAAATCCTGCTTGTTGTTCAATGAGGAAATCGTTCGATTCTAAGTACGGGTAAAGTTGTTCTGAGACTAATTTCTGAAACGTTTTTGCAATACATGATAAAACAGAGATAGGTCTATAATTGCCACATATTAATTTGCTATCAGATTTATGTATTGGCGAGATTATAGTGATCTTAAAGTGGTCAGGAAATATGCCCGAGTTTATTGAAGCATTGAATATCGCTGATAATGAGGGAGCTATTTCTTCAGCTGCATCTTTGAGCAGTTTTGGAGTACGTTGAAGTACGTTTCGGATTAGGGAAGTACGTTTCGGATTACGGAAGTACGTTTCGGATTACGGAAGTACGTTTCGGATTACGGAAGTACGTTTCGGATTACGAAAGTACGTTTCGGATTACGGAAGTACGTTTCGGATTAGGAAGTGCGTTTTGGATTACGGAAGTACGTTTCGGATTAGGGAAGTACGTTTCGGATTAGGGAAGTACGTTTCGGATTAGGGAAGTACGTTTCGGATTAGGGCAGTACGTTTTGGATTACGGAAGTACGTTTCGGATTAGGGAAGTACGTTTCGGATTAGGGAAGTACGTTTTGGATTACGGAAGTACGTTTAAGGATTAGGGAAGTACGTTTTGGATTACGGAAGTACGTTTAAGGATTAGGGAAGTACGTTTTGGATTACGGAAGTACGTTTCGGATTACGGAAGTACGTTTAAGGATTAGGGAAGTACGTTTTGGATTACGGAAGTACGTTTCGGATTAGGGAAGTACGTTTCGGATTACGAAAGTACGTTTAAGGATTAGGGAAGTACGTTTTGGATTACGGAAGTACGTTTCGGATTAGGGAAGTACGTTTCGGATTAGGGAAGTACGTTTCGGATTAGGGAAGTACGTTTCGGATTAGGGAAGTACGTTTCGGATTAGGGAAGTACGTTTTGGATTAGGGAAGTACGTTTTGGATTAGGGAAGTACGTTTCGGATTAGGAAAGTACGTTTCGGATTACGGAAGTACGTTTCGGATTAGGGAAGTACGTTTCGGATTAGGGCAGTACGTTTTGGATTACGGAAGTACGTTTCGGATTAGGGAAGTACGTTTCGGATTACGGAAGTACGTTTCGGATTACGGAAGTACGTTTAAGGATTAGGGAAGTACGTTTCGGATTAGGGAAGTACGTTTCGGATTAGGGAAGTACGTTTTGGATTAGGAAAGTACGTTTCGGATTAGGAAAGTACGTTTCGGATTACGGAAGTACGTTTCGGATTAGGGAAGTACGTTTCGGATTAGGGAAATACGTTTCGGATTAGGGAAGTACGTTTCGGATTAGGGAAGTACGTTTCGGATTAGGGAAGTACGTTTCGGATTAGGGAAGTACGTTTCGGATTAGGGAAGTACGTTTCGGATTAGGGAAGTACGTTGCCAACTTCCGTATCTACTTCCAATTGTAAATTTGAATTTAAATCGCAACGAAATACGTTGTTCATAGCAATTACCTTGTTACTTACGGCTTTTCCTTGTGTTACGAAGTGGTTACGTTCCATATTATTAATTCAAATTGAGTCAAATCCTGAATACTTAACGGTCTTTACCCAATTGTTATGAACAACGTATTTTGTTGCGATTTAAATTTAAATTTACAATTGGAAGTAGAAACGGAGGTTGACGACGTGCTTCCGTAATCCGAAACGTAGTTCCCAGTTTCCTAACGGGCTTCGCAACTCGGCGCGGAAAAGTAATCTGAAATTGATGGTAATGCAGTTTGTTAAATTCATGTGATAAAAATGTTATATGGAAAACACGGGCACGGTATAAAATGAATGAGCGCCCAATCGCAAAATATTATTTTTACTCCTGGAGTTAAAGCTACAGCAAAAATCGTTCATCTGTTAAGGCGGATTCCATTTAGTGCAAAATGTCGAGAGATCGACTTTTTGCGATCACTTTCTTTTGAAATACAAACAGTCAAGCGAAACTAATCCCATTAGATGAGCTTGAATGAACAAATTTCAAAAGAAAGCGATCGCAAAAAATCGATCGTGCGACATTTAGCATTGAATGGAAATCTACCATGCACTAGCTGTCACCTGTTAGAGCCATTGCAATATTAAAAAATGTAAAATATTCCAGGATGGATCCGGTCTGGTTCTATGGGAGGGGGGTTGTATTACAAAGAACGGTTATTCATTTTAACCGTCCCACCCCTAATTAGGATGGCCCTCGAAAATGACTCACGTGAGTGTTAAAATTTGGTAATCAGGTTGCAAGTGTCCTTACAAATATTTGGTCTGCTAACATTTGTAAGTTGTAAGTTTAAACGATGAAAAACTAGGAGCAGAAATTGAATCACTAAAGGCGTTGTCATCTGCACACAGCGTCATTTTACAGAATCCTTTTTAAAAATTATATCTTCGTCGTATTTTATCTTACCTCGATACTATTTAGTCTTCCTTCCATTTCACGCATCTGCGTTTTCAATTTATCTTGGGATGTCTAAATTACAGTATGAGAGTTAAAACTTTGATGTCTCATGGATTTCAGTTCTAACCCGCGGCAAATGAAACTGACGGGGCCCATCAGCGGGTGTAACATTTGAAGAATTCTATTCAACAGTCGTGTCTATGTCTTGTCTTGGTCTATGTTGTGAGAATTATCTTACAACTTTAGGACAAACAGATTTACAACCAAACCGGATGTTCTCTTGCGAACAACACCGCAATATTGTGACGCAATGTTGCAATTTTGATTGGCAAGTCCATCTAAGCGATTAGCAATCGTCGCGTCGCACGCTCAGTATTGATATAATATAAAAAATATCCCTAATATAAAAAATATCCCCAATTGTTGACCTTGGGAGAACGTTATTCTGAGTACAGATTTCATGCTGGATCAATGACTGTTTATTAAGCGTCTGAAGCATAACCTTTTGGTTTTATTGTTTTAATATACTGGGCAAATTCTACCACTGCAGGGGCAGTTGTATGAAAGCTGGATAGCGCTATCCACCAGATAGTGATATTTTTCAACCCTTTAAAAAATGCCTGAAAAGCAATGAAAGTACAGATTTGGTCCCCCAACCTAAGAATACTATAAGGTTTAATCTAGGTTATGCCGAACAACGGGAAATTGTAGAGCGATTGAAAAAAGAAACACTATCCGCTGGATAGCGCTATCCGCCTTTCGTACAACCAGCCCCAATTGTAGGAATAGTTCGTGATTTCTATATCCTGGTTGAAAGCGCACAATCGCGTGCGACTATTGCTTGTTTTGAACCACTTGCGAATCAAAATTGCAACATTGCATCATCATATTGCAATGTTGCTCGCAAGAGAACATCTGATTTGGCTGTTACATTACAAGCAGGTCTTACCTTAAAGCGTTCATTTCTTTCTGCCATTTCAAGAAACATAATTCGCGCTTCATTTCTGTAAGGATCCGATTCTTTCACCCTTTTCTAAATTACCATATAAAGGTTTAAGTACTTCTATGATATGAAAATATGACATGATAAAATTATATCTAATTCGATAAAATTGGCTAATGGGAATTATAATACATTAAGTGTAGACGTTTCCGACTTTCGCTACCACGTTTGTTACGTCGAAAATATAAAAAATTTCGTCAAGTGTCACTGTTTGCAAATATACAATTGCAACTATTGAGGTTTCTTCAAAGGAGTTTCGGTAAGGCCTGTTTCAGACGTCGAACTTTTCATGTGAAGAATCGAATGAAAACAAGACGCCTGCTCAGGCGTTCACTTGGAGCTACAGTTATCTCGCTTGAGCTTGTAACGCCTAATTTTTGGTGTTAAGGCATGTTCGTGACACCCGCGCGACAAACGATCCTAGGACGATTTCGATTCGTTCAAAGACTTCGTGACGCCCACGCGTGATTTTCATAAACTCGCGACGCAAAAGGAAAAACCGAGCCCATTTTTCAACTCGCTCTACCTACAGTAGCCCAAGTAATGAACTTAAACAAAGACTTTAGTTCATTAACATAAGGTTCGGCACATGAAAAGTTCGACGTCTGAAACAGGCTTTACGCTGCATTTACACGCCGATATTGATTTCTCGGAACGAAACGGAAAGTTTTCCGAGGAAGATTTTCCAAATGCAAGATTTTTTCCGGTGAAAAACAGAACTTAGCGGGTTTTACCTCGGAACAGAAGTCCGAATGAAATTTTAAAAGATTCTGCCGCGCATGACATGAAAGTCCGCGAAGGACTTTCTGTATGTAAATGCAGTTTTAGTCTGGTGAAAACCATGCTTTTTTAAAAAAAAACGAATGTGCGGTAAAATCATCTGCCTCGATTGTTTTGCGTGAGTGTATTGGCAACGTGCCTATGTTACTCAGACTGGACTTCTCTGAATGTAGCTGATGTTTTGTGGAGATTCGGAAATTCAAAAATGATAGAGAGTTGTACCGACCTACAAATGGCTACAATGTAAATTTCCTATTGATAGGTTACTTTCAGGAAGCGCTCCTATATTTGTGATTCTTTCCACGTTTAATTAAGACATTTAAAGATTCTACAATACGATTTACGTCTAATATTTCGGAAGTCGGATTTTGCCCTTGCCCAAACCGGAAAAACCGGTTAAAAAAGTATAATACGGCTTTTTGGTATAATACTATCTCGGACTTTCTAAAGTCTCGTGACCTTACTCGGTAAAAGGCATCATCATAAAATAATTTGCTATAATCACCTTAATTTCCTTTACTTGTGCGTTAATTCCTGTCACTTCGCTTCTCATTTCGTCTTGAACTGTATTCGTGAATGTCTGAATTTCTTCACAACTATTGGTGACTTCACTCAGTTCCTGCCTTTGTAAATTCTGATAATCCTCAATTTTATTCAATTTTGTAAAAATTTGTTCACAATTATCGATGATTTCTTCCAGTTTCCGTTTCTGTCTTCTCTGATTACCCTCCATTTCATCCAAATCACGGTCAATATCATCTACCTTCTGTCCATACGCGTCCTGAGTTTCTTCTAGTTCCTTTTGTTTATCGTCGAATTCTTTCTGTCTTGCTCTGATAATCGTGAAATCTTCTTTCATTTCTTCTTGACGCAGTTTGATATCTTTTAAACCCTGAATATTGGCTCCACCAAGCTGACAGAAACTCTTCTTGTGGTTGTCTTCATCTTTTGCATTTACTTCAAGGTGACACTCTTCACACGTTACTGGACGGTATTCACAATTATTCACATGATTTTGTAGATTTCCAAGCTCAACATGTTCCGGACACCCTCGATTGTTGTATTCACACTTAATTCTCAGCTCTGATAACACGTTCTTAAATTCTTTTGCAGGACATTTTAAAGTTTCCAAAGTGAGGGGTTGCTGACATACTGGGCATGTCTGGGAATTAGGAAGATGTTGAGATATGCAGTTTAAACAAAATTTATGTTCTTCTGCCTGGCATAATCGTGGCTCGTTTAACACACACTGACAAATGCAGCATTTAAAACCATGAAGAACTCGATCAAAGAAACGGTCAGGATCATAACCTTCACCCATCTGCATTATCTTCACATGAATCTGAAACAAAGTTTTATTGAATGCTGAGATTTATAATTACCACAAATCATTAGCCTGGTTTCTATTCGGACGTAATTTTCGTGAAGATGCCAAGGTGGTTGATGTATTTGAATATTGCTATAACGTGTATGTAATTAAAAATGACTGATTAGAATACAAAAAAACAGCAAAAAGTTTACTTCTGGACTATAAAATGTTCTTGAGGTGTTTCCCAGGAAATTTTAAAGTTTCCAAAGAGAGGGGTTGTCGACATTCTGGGCATGTCTGGGAATTAGGAACATGTTGAGATATGCAGTTTAAACAAAATTTATGTTCTTCTGCCTCGCATAATCGTGGCTCGTTTAACACACACTGACAAATAAAGCATTTAAAACCATGAAGAACTCGATCAACGAAACGGTCAGGATCATAACCTTCACCCATTAGAAAAAATATGTTGACTCAACATTTTTGACATGAATCTGAAACATCAGTTTTATTACTATATTAACTGGTTTATGTAAAAATGCGTGTTCAAAATTGATGCACCCCCCCCCCCTATTTTATAGCACCTTTCTTACATGGGAGGTTGGGTGAATTTGGTTGGTTAATTTTTATAAATTATACATATATTTTTATAAAATTTGTCTATTTTCGGCAGTTGTTATACCACATTTGATGCTAAGTTATTTGCAGATGCTGCCACGCTGCTCCCTGGTTATAATGGAATTAATGTATCTAATTTTTAATATATATATATATATATATACAGTAGGGGGCAAAAGTTTGAGTCCACAAAGATGATGGTAAACAAGGACAAATAGTTGCATTAAGTATTGAAGGATTCCCTCCTTGTACGATCGCAGAAAAAGTGAGAATTTCGAAAGGTGGTATGCAACTAACCTTGAAGAGGTTCAAAGAAACTAAATCCTACTCAAGCAAACTTTTAGCTGCTTTGGTCATGCTGGGTTTGGCAATATTGAAAGATATAATAGGATCCTAATTAAAGAAAAGTATCATCCAATTCTTCAAGGACATGGAATTTCATCTGGTACGAAGATGATCGCGCGTCTAACTACATGATAATCACCCTAAACACATGCACATCTTCTATGTGCCAGAAATATTTTAGAAGCAAACTCGTTCTGGTGATCTCGTTCTCATGGCTTTCCACCACCAGATCTAAAACCTATGGAGCACTTGTAGGACCGTTTTAAACGGAAAAGGGCGAGGCACAGACCCACCAGCCAGGATGACTTGAGGCAAGTGGTCGCCGAATGCTGCCAAGGTATTGAACGTACAACATTAAAAAGCCAATGGAATCTATGCCAGCAAGAATAAAGGCCGTTTCAAGAGCAAAAAAGAATGATTCTAAGCATTGACATGTAATGCATGTTTGCACATTAACATACGTTATATGAATATCATAACATCTCATAGTTGCTGTACAGCATGTATTTTTCAGTTTACTTATTTACTTTTTCCTAGTTCACTTATCGGTAAAGTTTTCTGTAGAACATAAATATGTGCTGCTAAAAAAATGAAATACAGTCACTGGACTCAAACTTTTGCCTCCTACTGTGTGTGTATATATATATATATATATATATATATATATATATATATATATAAAAGTTGCGTTGTGCCAAATACAAGTGTAGATATAGAAAAAGGTTGCTTGTCAACTAGAGAGATATTATTCGAACATAACCACTGCTTTGTATTTTTTAATATCACTTTATTCACAAACGTTTTCGCTCTCTTAGCTCTTCAGGTGATAAATGATGACAGTGGTTATTTTGTTTACCTACATATAGTGTAATATGATACATCCTATTTAGTGTGACTATGTTAAAGTTGTGTTATTTACAAAGATAAAATTAGCATGCATTAAGATTAGGTTCTAGTGTTCTAATTATTTGTTTCTCTTTGGTCTCTCTTATTAGTCTATTAGCGTTGATACACTTATAGATCGGCATAATGTTAAAGTTGCCTTTGCTACATTTAGATAGGTGTTCACTGACGGTTAAATGTCGATATTCTTTGTGTCTAATATGCTGCTTATGCAAAGTTACTCTGTTTCTGAGGTTTTCAGTCGTTCCCACGTAGAAACTGTTGCAATTTGGGCATATTATGATGTAAATAACTCCTTTAGATTTACAGTTCATGTCATATTTTACCGTCCACGTTTTTCCATTCTTCAGTTTAATTTTGTCCCCGGTGATTATATGAGGGCATGTGCCGCAACGAGGTTCATTGCACTTTGTCACAGTTGGCGTGGCGTTGGACGTTGAAAATTCCGCTTTCGTTAAAATTCCTTTTAAGTTTTTCGGTTGTCGTCTGGTTACAATAAGATTTGTTTTCTCCATTGTACTCCTTAATTCGTCTGACAAATTTAAAACTTTCACTGTTTCCCTTACTTTCCCAATAATGCTAGGGTTATTTGGATTGTGTGTTAACACTAGAGGTAATATTCTGCCTTCGGGTTCCTTCGCCTTTGGTGTTCTTAATTCCTCGATACTTTGGCCTTTCGCTTTTTCGAAGCTTGAGTTAATTAAGGTTGTTGGATAGTTTCGACGTACGAGAAATATTCTAAGTTCTTCCAAGCGTTGTTCACGAATTTCATGGTTGGCGATAATCGTGCAAATTCGTACAAATTCGTGCAAATTCGTACAAATTCGTAATTTGCACGATTATCGCCAACCATGAAATTCGTGAACAACGCTTGGAAGAACTTAGAATATTTCTCGTACGTCGAAACTATCCAACAACCTTAATTAACTCAAGCTTCGAAAAAGCGAAAGGCCAAAGTATCGAGGAATTAAGAACACCAAAGGCGAAGGAACCCGAAGGCAGAATATTACCTCTAGTGTTAACACACAATCCAAATAACCCTAGCATTATTGGGAAAGTAAGGGAAACAGTGAAAGTTTTAAATTTGTCAGACGAATTAAGGAGTACAATGGAGAAAACAAATCTTATTGTAACCAGACGACAACCGAAAAACTTAAAAGGAATTTTAACGAAAGCGGAATTTTCAACGTCCAACGCCACGCCAACTGTGACAAAGTGCAATGAACCTCGTTGCGGCACATGCCCTCATATAATCACCGGGGACAAAATTAAACTGAAGAATGGAAAAACGTGGACGGTAAAATATGACATGAACTGTAAATCTAAAGGAGTTATTTACATCATAATATGCCCAAATTGCAACAGTTTCTACGTGGGAACGACTGAAAACCTCAGAAACAGAGTAACTTTGCATAAGCAGCATATTAGACACAAAGAATATCGACATTTAACCGTCAGTGAACACCTATCTAAATGTAGCAAAGGCAACTTTAACATTATGCCGATCTATAAGTGTATCAACGCTAATAGACTAATAAGAGAGACCAAAGAGAAACAAATAATTAGAACACTAGAGCCTAATCTTAATGCATGCTAATTTTATCTTTGTAAATAACACAACTTTAACATAGTCACACTAAATAGGATGTATCATATTACACTATATGTAAGTAAACAAAATAACCACTGTCATCATTTATCACCTGAAGAGCTAAGAGAGCGAAAACGTTTGTGAATAAAGTGATATTAAAAAATACAAAGCAGTGGTTATGTTCGAATAATATCTCTCTAGTTGACAAGCAACCTTATATATATATATATATATAATAATAATAATATTGTCCGTACTTGAACAAAGAGTGCTCAATATCAACAAATAGAGCAAAATGATTAAATTATGAAACACCGTGTAGCGATGACAATATTTTTAAACATTTATTTATTTAAATTAAATAAATAAATGTTTAAAAATATTGTCATCGCTACACGGTGTTTCACGCTCAAGGCGATCATCAGACGAATGGATACATTTAACAGTTTTTCTGACGCATAAGGATAGCATACTAGTGTGTGCGCCTAAGGTTTAAATTTGTGCGCACTGTATTTAAAGTGATGTCTACACTTAGAAAATAACTCTGAGCACTTATTCAGCACTCTGTCTTTGTCTGCTTTCAAAATAAACAGCTTTTCTTCAAGGCAAAGGTTGCAGCCTCTCCCACTAGGTCTAAATGTAGGGACATGCTTTAGAAGGGACCACTTTATTTTGAATAATTTCTCTTTCGCTTTGTTTCAATTTCCATGCATACTATATATATATATATATTAATATATATATAATATTATATATATATATATATATATTGTGTAAACAGCATATTAGCCTGTCACCTGTGTACAACTAACCCAAAATTTTATTGAATGGTGCTATTTTGTGTGTTGAAAATTTAGGGAGTCTGTTTGCTACAAGATCATTCCAAAATTGTAAAGAAATAAAAAATATAATCTTCATGAAAAATTTTAATGAAATTGATAAGACTTAGCTGCTGGTATCCTTAATACCTAGAATTTGGTCAGGAAAAAGATTTATAAATGCTGAACAAAATATAACTTGCTGAACAACTTTAGAATACCCAGTCACTAACCACATTTTATATTGCTATGCACTGAAATTATCTCATCAGAACAGGAGAAATTTAAACTGATTTGTTCATTTTGTTTCATGATCCACATTCCAATCCTAAACATTCTAGCATGTATACAAGCTTGTTCTTCACACGTATTCTAAAGTTAAGCAATCAAGTTACAAGTTAAAGGGAAGTAATTCAATGTAGTCTTTGAGAGCAAGCCACTAGCCCTAGCGATATGGCTGGTCTCTCTCATGTAATATAAACAGGCTCTCAGATCACACTTTGATCACACTATTTGAACATAAAATACCCAAATTAAATAAAAATAATCCCTTTTAAAAGTACCTAAATGACACTTCGCCTATCTATACTCCAATTGAATCGATCATACTTAATAAGAATTGCTCGTAGCTTCAGTGTCTTTGCAATGAGCTATTTTTATTTATCAAATAGTTTGCAATATTCATTCATTTATACATGATCCATAACAGCACTCTAGCATGAGATATAGTGGATATATTATATCAAAGAACCTATAATAAACTATGTTTATAACTACGTTATAAACAGATACAGAGCCGTAGGTAAAACAAATTAATACTGGGCTCCCAATAAAGTGAATAAACACTAGCGACTGTTTTCATGTCACGTCCGCGTCGTAGATTTGATGCATCTTAAACTCGATAGTATAGCTATTACCATAAAACATCGACTCACGAAAATATGTAAACATACCTCAAGTCTTTGTGACTACAGCATCTCTAGTGTTGGTTTGCCATTGCCACAGATGCGATATTGCCTTTGCGAACATTCTTCTCACAGGGTGAAGTCCATGTGCCAAGATGGCGGAATTCAGCAGTGTTTCCACTTTTAAAATCTTGTGTTTCCTTTTTTAAGGCCTAAATTACTTTTTTTATTAAAGCCAATTTTCTTCGAAAAAATGATAAAATGTCCTTCATATTTCCTTCATATGTTCCCATTGTAAATGAGATAAATTGATACCTGATGCAGATTAGTAATCGTGCAATATATAATATACACAAAATACTTTCAAATATGGTTCACTATAGAAAAACAAATATGTGTCTCATGGACATGGTCCATAATTAATGAAATATTTTAATATGAACAAAATAAATATTTAGAAAATTTGACCATGACAATGGACGACTTGCGCTTTAGACTAATTTCTTATCTCAGTGCCGTAAAAAGGAAACTTTCTGAAAGAGTTTACTAAAATTAGTAAAACTGCCAAGTTTGTAAGAAATACTTCTTGATTGGTTTTTTGAAGGAGTTTTTTTAAGAGAACAGAGTTCTTTGTATTACGTGGGAAGATAATATTCCGTACTTTTGAATAATTGGTTCTATAAGTCTCTTTAAATTGGTTCTATAAGACTTTGTATGGCTGTGGTTAGGGTAAGGCTGTTATGCTGCCATGTAAGAAATTTTGTACTTAGTTTGTATGAATCATACAATTTTCAAAAAAGGGAGAGGATATTTCATAAAAAGAATGTGCATTCGACGGAATATGTAACTTTTTTGCGATTACTTAAAGCCGATATGGAGCTAGCGTTCCAGTCTTCCAGTGCACAGATGTGACAATGTTCCTTCCTCCTAATGAAGTTATACAGTTGTAAGAACTTCAAAATACGCACGACTTGACAAAACCTGGATTTGTGATATATGTTTACTGGTCAAGTTTCTATTGCCTATTAACAGGGGCGTAAATATTCGTACATTCAGTACATTGTAAACTGTTGCACTGATTGCCCTTCCTTGCAAAATACCAAAAATGAAAAGTCTCATGTTCGTTATAGTCTTATAGATAGATAGATAGTTTAGATATATAGTTACAGCTTTATAGAAGGCTGAATTATAATAACCTTTAAATTAAAAAGTATATAATTATATGTTACACTAAAAATTATGTATACATTCTTAATACGAGTGTCTATAAGAATTGTATGGGATAAAACTGTTTTTCAATCTGTTTGTCTTACATTTTGGGAGCTGGAACATGCGTTTGTTGCGTAAGCATACGGTGCTATTATTTCTAGGAGGCAAAAGTTTATGCAGTTTGTGTGAATTATCATCGATGATTTCCTGAAATGACTATCGTTTAAACTTTGTCGTCTACTGGACAGTGTTCCCAAGTTCACCGTTTGTAGAGCTTGGCTGTAGGGCAGTTCGGGGTGTATAATACGTAGGGCACGCTTTTGTAGATTTTCTAGGTCATCGGATAAACATTGGGGTAAGGAGCCGTGGAAAACTTCACACGCATACTCTGTTATAGGGCGAATGCAGGTGGTATAGAATAGAATGAGATCTTTGGTTGGTAGTTTAGCACGTTTAAGCTGTCTAAGGAAATATAAACGCGATGCCACTTTCTTGCAAATCTCCGCGATATGGGTGTTCCATTTTAGGTCGTTTGATATCGTTAAACCTAAAAGTTTTACAGCAGGGACGACTTCGACGTTCGAAACGTTTATTACAATCGGTTTAAACATGTTATTAGAATGTGAATAATAATATAAACATATCATGCAATTTAGGTATGTGTTGAGAATGCCTTAACAAAGTTATGTTATAATAGAAATACATGCATGCAGCTTATACGAGGGCGCTTATACGAGCGCTTATACGAGGGCGGCGCTTGTTCGAGTAAACACGGTATGTTCCCGGGTGTTATTCCTAATCTTTGGGCGGAATTAGTACCCTCAGACGGCGCTCCGCACCGGCAGAGGGAACAAAATTTCTAGCTATATATATATCATTTCTTCTTCTCCCGATCTCCAATGCATCTGTCTTTCTTTAGATTGCGATTGCCTATTTCTCTCTCCACATATTCCTCCAGATGATCAACCTTATCCTTAATTTCAGAAATCATAATAATAATTCACGTATATGTTTTTGTTCATGTTTGAGTTTTCTAACCAAATTTCAATTACAAGCCGTCTTACCGTTAAATTATCTATTTTTGATATCATCAGCCAATTCTCACGCGATGTTGTTGTGTTGCTTGACTGCTTCAAGTCGGTTAGTTCACTCTAAATTTCGAAGCGAAATTACAAATTTAGTAATTGCTAATATTGTTGAAATCAAAACTGAGATAAGAGAATATTTTGATGGAGATCAGGATATGCGATTTGTGGAAAAGCTTTAGTTTTAGGGTAATCAGAAGAACTTAAAATAGCTCTATTTACTAAAATTCTTCAAGAAATTTGGCTGAACATGTTTAATATATATATAGCTGTAAGTATTTCTTTCAATTACAAGCCGTCTTACCTTTAAATCTTGTAAAGTTGATATAATACAAGAATTTTCATGCGATGTTTTGTTGCTCAATTCAGATAATTGACGCTAAATTTCCAAGCGAAATTAAAAATTTAGTAATTGCATGCTAATAGTTGAAATCAAAACTGAGATTGGAGTACTTCTCAATATTTTTATATTAGTATATGTAAAATGCAGGTGAGATAGTCAACCTCGCAGGCCAGGCGTTTCTACCTACGCTTCAGTGGCGGATTCAGGGTTAGGCATGAATAAATTACTACAGCTTAAAATCGTAATTGCATTGGTATTTTGAATTTAAAATTAGGCCTTTTAATTTATTCTGCCTAACCCTAGATCCGCCACTGCTACGCTTCACGGCCCACGCGGCGACGAAACCCCTGGTTAAGGCTACTCGTGTGATTCTTTTGTTACAGTTCTCCCGTGTGGGGATGGGTGGGACACAAGTAGCGTATAAATGACATCAGTTAAAACAGCGTGTTTCTAAGGAGTGAACATTGAGCGCTGTTGTACCGCAAAGCGAAATAACCTGTGTCGTTATTGTTATTCGACCTCTAAATTCGCTCATCAACGCCCAAATTTAGAAGTTAGGACAGGCCTTCGAGTGTCTGTATTGAATGTCAACAGAACTTGTAACGATACCAAAACTGATTCTATCGACGATGATACAGTCTGCACACACACTTTGAATCTAAATTCAGTTTATTGTTCCTTTGGAGTTTTTTGCTGCGCCATACTATAGCTGTATTTATTTAGTTTGGTGATACAGATGATATGCGATTTGTGGTCACAGTAGCGTAGCCAGCCTGTCGATTTGTCCCGCTATGCTAATATTTTCGTGTTCACCGACTGTGAAAACAATAGATTTCTAAAGACATGAATCATTATAATAACTCGAAATTTACATAGCGGGACAAAATCTTCAGGCTGGCTACGCCACTGTTTGCGGAAAAGCTTTAGTGTCAGGGTAATCAAAAGAACTTAAAAGAACTCTATATGCTAAAATTCTTGAATAAATTTGGTTGAATATGTCTAATAGATATAGCTATATAAGCATTTCTTTAAATCACCCCCCTCTTTGATACACCCTATTATAATCGCAATAATTCTTCGTGATCACCTTTATTTCCTCATCCTGACTAAACTTTCTCTGCCAATCCATTTCTAGTTCTGCATTTTTTTGCACCATGACCGCCATTTGCTCTTTTAAATTATGCACATCATCTGCACAAGAATATCGCATTCGCTTCGCGCCTTAAAAGAAGAATCAGTCTGCATATGATAGTGAATAATGAAAGGTGAAATAATTAACACTTATTTACTGCGAACGAAGGAAACATTATGTTTTGTGGACCCGAGACCTGTCGATATTTCACGAGGCGAAGCCGAGTGAAATATCGATGGTCGAGGGTCCACAAAACATAATGTTTTCTGAGGTCGCAGTAAATAAGTTTTTTATTATATACCACTTGTCAAAGAAAAACTAAACAACGAAGTAAACAACGAAATGTTTATTTATAAAACATGTAATTTCGAAGGACGAAGGTCAACTTAGCCCAATGTCAACTAAAGGTCAGATGTCCACGAGTGCAGCACGTGATTAAAGTTGTTATTTCCCATGAAATAATGCATTGTTTCCCCCTGCTGGGGGTCGCGCGGGCGACATCAAAATTTCGTCACTCTCACGTGATTCGCTCTCGACCAATGAAACGCTACGAACACCAAACTTTGACAAGTGGTATATAATAAGTTTCTTTTATCAATGTGCTCTTAACCAAAACTAATTGTCTTAAGCAAAAAAGAAATCGGTCAGGGGAGGATAATTTTTCCGACTGGAAACCAGCCCTTAAACTTGCACGCTGGCTAAATTCAGATTTCTTGGTTTCCAAAAGGGAAGTGCTATTAAAATAGTGTGTATTTCGTGTGTGTATTTCCCCACGATTAAAATGCACCATGCGTGAACAAAGACGAGGTACTTCACGCTGACTGGTCACACACCTGGACTCACCTGGTTGGTCAAACATAGACTCACTTTCGTCACTCGAGGCATTCTTATCAGACCTAGGAGCCCTTCTGTCTTTTGATCTTTTTTTTGATCTGACTTTGGAGGGATGCGAATCATCTTTACTTTGGTTTATTAACCCATCGACTCTCTTCTAAATTTCAGAAAATTTATATTTTAGGGATTGTGTGTAGTATCATACGCAGCCCAGACTTTCATTGTGTGATTGGTGTAACTTTGTTTACTTCGTCTATATACAATTGGCTTTCCCGCAAGACTGCCAATGAGAGTTTAGCTAACATCTTAAAAAAGATGACGTTTTCTTAGGCGGAGTGACCCGTAACCGCACTCGTTAGTTTTTCAAAGACCTCAAATATCACTCGTCGTTCGGACTCATGCTATTTCGAGGTCTTTGAAAAACTCCCTCGTGCATGTTATATCCAAATTGCACTCGAAACTATTACCTAGACCAATTATACATTTACGAATTACGAAGCTATATCTGTAGTATTTAGATAAACTCTTGCCTACCTTGTCATAATATATAGACGAGGTGAACAAAGTAAGCGCGACACACGCGCGAGTATCACACGCGCAATCAAAGTCTGGGCTGCCTATGGTATATAGTATGTAAATCTAAAGGTTTTTAAAGGGTCTTAATTTCGAGTGGAATCATACATTTTATTTACCTCGCAAACAAGGTCCCGCAATAGCGCGTCTGAAGCAGTTTTCGAAATGGAGGGAACGGTATGTAAACACGGTGAAAAACGTCTGCACACGCACGCGCCAAATTACAAAATTAGGCGGGAAATTTAAATACCGACAAGATGCGGCGTGTTTAATACATAAGATTCTAAAGAAATCACCTTTGTCTCATCTATTTTCGCATTCATTTGACGCTGTCGTTCTTTAAGCTCATCGTGCTGATTGCCCAACTCCGTATGCGACAATTCCAAATTGCTAACATTTTCCTAAAGTACAGTATGATGGTTAAATATTTCTTCTATTGTGACCAGTGAACACGAGCTGCCAACGTCTGGAACACTCTTCCAAGTTATATTAGAGACACAACTAAGTCTATAGCATCATTTAAAGCATTATTACGCAACTACTATAAGAGTCTAACAGACAGTATTTTCAACATCGATGACCCGAGAATTTTTAAATCTGTTTGTGTGAAATGCCACACAAGTCGTCCTTTATGGAACTTATCATCGAGGTCTTGTTGTTAGCTCAGCTGAACTATATAGCTGGCGCTTTCTTAGCAAGTGCAATTACCATGACGCTACAATCTCTTTGTGGCCTGTCAGTGTGTTTGTCAGTTTATTACTATGTCTACAGTAAATATTTGTCACGCTTCATGTTATGTTTTGTGCATGTTGTGGAACCCCGTTATTGGAGATTTTATCTGTGTGTGGGGCATTCCAGCCATTTGTAATTTATGTATTTATGTTTAACTTAATTTCAAAATGGCAAACTTGTAAAATAAAATAAAATAAAATAAAAAAAATTAAAATAAAATAAAATAAATAAAATAAAATAAATAAATAAAAAATAAAATAAAATAAATAAAATAAAATAAAATAAAATAAAATATACGAATTACGAAACTATATCTGTAGTATTTAGATAAACTCTTGCCTACCTTGTCATAATATATAGACGAAGTGAACAAAGTAAGCGCGACACACGCGCGAGTATCACACGCGCAATCAAAGTCTGGGCTGCCTATGGTATATAGTATGTAAATCTAAAGGTTTTTAAAGGGTCTTAATTTCGAGTGGAATCATACATTTTATTTACCTCGCAAACAAGGTCCCGCAATAGCGCGTCTGAAGCAGTTTTCGAAATGGAGGGAACGGTATGTAAACACGGTGAAAAACGTCTGCACACGCACGCGCCAAATTACAAAATTAGGCGGGAAATTTAAATACCGACAAGATGCGGCGTGTTTAATACATAAGATTCTAAGAAATCACCTTTGTCTCATCTATTTTCGCATTCATTTGACGCTGTCGTTCTTTAAGCTCATCGTGCTGATTGCCCAACTCCGTATGCGACAATTCCAAATTGCTAACATTTTCCTAAAGTACAGTATGATGGTTAAATATTTCTTCTATTGTGACCAGTGAACACGAGCTGCCAACGTCTGGAACACTCTTCCAAGTTATATTAGAGACACAACTAAGTCTATAGCATCATTTAAAGCATTATTACGCAACTACTATAAGAGTCTAACAGACAGTATTTTCAACATCGATGACCCGAGAATTTTTAAATCTGTTTGTGTGAAATGCCACACAAGTCGTCCTTTATGGAACTTATCATCGAGGTCTTGTTGTTAGCTCAGCTGAACTATATAGCTGGCGCTTTCTTAGCAAGTGCAATTACCATGACGCTACAATCTCTTTGTGGCCTGTCAGTGTGTTTGTCAGTTTATTACTATGTCTACAGTAAATATTTGTCACGCTTCATGTTATGTTTTGTGCATGTTGTGGAACCCCGTTATTGGAGATTTTATCTGTGTGTGGGGCATTCCAGCCATTTGTAATTTATGTATTTATGTTTAACTTAATTTCAAAATGGCAAACTTGTAAAATAAAATAAAATAAAATAAAATAAAATAAATAAAATAAAATAAAATAAAAATAATAAAATAAAATAAAATAAAATAAAATAAAATAAAATAAAATAAAATATACGAATTACGAAACTATATCTGTAGTATTTAGATAAACTCTTGCCTACCTTGTCATAATATATAGACGAAGTGAACAAAGTAAGCGCGACACACGCGCGAGTATCACACGCGCAATCAAAGTCTGGGCTGCCTATGGTATATAGTATGTAAATCTAAAGGTTTTTAAAGGGTCTTAATTTCGAGTGGAATCATACATTTTATTTACCTCGCAAACAAGGTCCCGCAATAGCGCGTCTGAAGCAGTTTTCGAAATGGAGGGAACGGTATGTAAACACGGTGAAAAACGTCTGCACACGCACGCGCCAAATTACAAAATTAGGCGGGAAATTTAAATACCGACAAGATGCGGCGTGTTTAATACATAAGATTCTAAAGAAATCACCTTTGTCTCATCTATTTTCGCATTCATTTGACGCTGTCGTTCTTTAAGCTCATCGTGCTGATTGCCCAACTCCGTATGCGACAATTCCAAATTGCTAACATTTCCTAAAGTACAGTATGATGGTTAAATATTTCTTCTATTGTGACCAGTGAACACGAGCTGCCAACGTCTGGAAACTCTTCCAAGTTATATTAGAGACACAACTAAGTCTATAGCATCATTTAAAGCATTATTACGCAACTACTATAAGAGTCTAACAGACAGTATTTTCAACATCGATGACCCGAGAATTTTTAAATCTGTTTGTGTGAAATGCCACACAAGTCGTCCTTTATGGAACTTATCATCGAGGTCTTGTTGTTAGCTCAGCTGAACTATATAGCTGGCGCTTTCTTAGCAAGTGCAATTACCATGACGCTACAATCTCTTTGTGGCCTGTCAGTGTGTTTGTCAGTTTATTACTATGTCTACAGTAAATATTTGTCACGCTTCATGTTATGTTTTGTGCATGTTGTGGAACCCCGTTATTGGAGATTTTATCTGTGTGTGGGGCATTCCAGCCATTTGTAATTTATGTATTTATGTTTAACTTAATTTCAAAATGGCAAACTTGTAAAATAAATAAAAAAATAAAATAAATAATAAATAAAATAAATAAAATAAATAAAATAAAATAAAATAAATAAATAAAATAAAAAATAAAATAAAATAAATAAAATAAAATAAAATAAAATATACGAATTACGAAACTATATCTGTAGTATTTAGATAAACTCTTGCCTACCTTGTCATAATATATAGACGAAGTGAACAAAGTAAGCGCGACACACGCGCGAGTATCACACGCGCAATCAAAGTCTGGGCTGCCTATGGTATGTAGTATGTAAATCTAAAGGCTTTTAAAGGATCTTAATTTCGAGTGGAATCATACATTTTATTTACCTCGCAAACAAGGTCTCGCAATAGCGCGTCTGAAACAGTTTTCGAAATGGAGGGAACGGTAATAATGTAAACACGGCGAAAAATGTCTGCACATGCACGCGCCAAATTACAAAATTAGGCGGGAAATTTAAATATCGACAAGATGCGGCGTGTTTAATACATAAGATTCTAAAGAAATCACCTTTGTCTCATCTATTTTCGCATCGATTTGACCCTGTCGTTCTTTAAGCTCATCCTGCTGATTGCCCAATTTCACTTGCGACAATGCCAATTGGCTGACATTTTCCTAAAGTACAGTATGATGGTTAAAACATTTCTTCTGTTGTGACCAGTGAACACTAATGAAACTGGAACGGTAACTCCATAATAAAGTCTAGTCATTGGATGAAGCCGATTCGAATATAATTTACTGATTATGGCGGGTAGGTAAGACCTATTTTAGATGTGCCGAAGCTAATAGGCAGATGTCTTTGTTTTAAATTAATTTGCATTCGTTTCGGCGCATGAACAGTTAGCGCCTAAAACGGGCCTGACCAGAATTTTAAGCCCCATACACTTCACTCGATTTTTTGGCAGGGAAGGGTGAAAATGACGACGCTCATTTTATCCGTGTCCGACCTTTGCTTTGTTAGTCTGAGCACGGGTACCCATGTTAGTTGTGCCGTGCCAATAAATTGAGTGTAGTGTAAATCATTCCAGACCATGCATGATCTGTCGTAGAACCCAGACTCCAATCAAAATGGTTGCAATGACCTCACTCTCTCTACTTTCTGTGATATATTACCTCAATTTTTGACACTTTGCCATCTATTGTAAGAGAAAGACCAATGGCCTCAGTTACTCCAGTCATAGTGTTACTCATCCTTTCATTCACGGTAGATAGTTCACCCTCCATACTATCTATCTTTTCAACAAACCAGCTTCGAGTTAATTTCATTTTCCTTTGTTTTTTTGCAACGTGTCTCTTTCTAGTAATAGAAACATAGTCAGCCCAACAGTCAGGCGCTGTATACAATGATGTCGACAATACATATAGTATATAATTTTATGTGATACCCAATTGGCAATTGCACACATACCAAAAAGCGGGAAACATTCTAACATAGCGCTCTCAACATTTCTGCTTATATAAAGTATCTCATAAGATGGACGTACATATTGCGGGCGCATATCGCATACACGTATAACAAACGTTGAATTGAAATGAAAGTATCTATACATTTGTGTCTGGATATTTGTTTATAAATTCAACATTTAGTACGAAATTGTCTCGACTACGAAGTTTTTAAAAGCAGGTATTAAGTTGATATTTTTTCTTACTCTCAACGAAATTGCGTTAGAATAATATTTCCCACAGTCGCAGCTTTGACACTTTGACCCAGGCATTATTCCCAGCATAGGAAATCAGGTTTATTTTCGTCTTGTTTGTTCGTATACAAACAAAAACTCGTTTTCATCAATAACAACTCAACAGAATTGGACCGTAAGAACAGACCTTAAAGATTACTCAACATAAATATAATGCGTGTAAAATTATTTGCTTCGTAAGCGAAATTTGGAATGTTCTTTATATTATGTATATTGTTACATTTAAGTCTTTTAAGCGGTAGTGTAGCACCTTTAATAAGGTTGTTTCCTATTGGCTCAGACTCTAACCAGGGTAGCAAAGGTAGCGAACCAATAAACTTCGAAGAAACCCCCGGTTTAATATTACTAATATTAAAATTATCATTTCACTAGTACTCGTCATCGTTGGCGTTTGTAATATGATATGTAAAT